TCAGGGGCCTGTGCTGAAGCCAGCAGCCACAGGCTTGGCAGCAGCCTGCTCACGCAAAGCAGTTACTGCAGAAGTGCAGCTGGGAGTGGGGAAACGACGTTGTGGTTAATGGGCTGCCCTCATTAGCTCCTGCCCTGGTAACCCAATGGGAGAGAGGAGCTTCCACCGATCATAAATCCATGCTGAGCTCTTGTGTACTGCTCTCACAGAGTATAGGAGAACAGGGAAAGTGCACAGGGCGACAAAAGCGTACAGAGAGCTCTGCATGGCTCTTCAGTTTGGAACCTAGGGACCAAATAAACACTGGTGAATGAATTCACAGGAGAAAAATGCATGGAAGTCTTTTAAACCCAAAGGGTTCCACATCCGTCATGGAAAACACGCAAGCTGCAGGTTGCTGGATGCTTGGAAAGTGTTCTCAGAAGATACAACATTGTTTTGCCTTGCTTTTGCATTCTTCTTTTCCAGTTTGACTGTCCTTAGGATATTTTGCATAGCCCCAGGAATCTCTAAAACTGCATTACTTCTTAGAGACCTGCCTGAACCTTGCTCTTGCTCATGCATCCTCTTAATGTGGTAGCAAGCTGGGTGCAGTTGGAGATGTTCTGCAGCGGGCAAAGGGCAGCTACACAGTGCCCAGTCCCCGGTGGCAGCAGCACTGCTCCTGCTCACCATCATCCCAGTACATTGCCACCCCTAATCATGGATACAGGATTCACTGTCATGCCAGAGTCACGGAGAAGATGTATAAGAATAGATACTCCCTATGCTGCTTTTGAGTCACTGAATCACAGTTAGAAATTACTCATGCCTTTTTCTTCCTGTAATGTGGCTTTTTGTTTTCATATTCCTTACAGCTAATGTAAATCAAGGCATGCTCTGCTCGTGCATTAATGCTGCATCTGCACGAAGTCTCAGCTGTCCAACCTAGCAGCCTCCTGCCTGCAATTGCAGGAGAGCAGCAGCACTTCTGCTTTCACCACTCACACGTTCTTCATTCTGCTGTTTCCCCTTGCTGAATGAGTACTGCTTTTCTTTTCCCTTTCTTCTCCGGTAGCAAATCTTCCCCCTGGTAGGAAGCTGGCCAGCTTGTTTTCAGATCAGCCCCACTTGTTTTGAAAATCCTGACCCTGCTTTTCCCTGTCAGCTGGAGGCAATGTCTCCTGCTATGACAGGATATCACAAGGCCAAGGCCTGTGCATCTGTGCTTGTTCTTCTCTTTTTCTTCCTGCTCTTCTCCTTCTTTACCTTCGAAGAACAGCCTAATGGAGACCCTATGGCTGTTATGATGAGTTGGGGCCCTTCTTTTTCAGTTCATACAGATTTGTTTTTCTTCATGTTCATACACTGTGTGACATTATTTGGCCTTCACATCATTCTGATATTGAAAAAGTGAGCAGCACACCCAGTTTAAAGTTTACTCCTGGTTCCTGGTTCAGTATTGCTTTATTTTCAGACCATTCAAGGGAGCCATGTAATAAACTATGTCATATGTGTGTGAGGGTATTATTCTATATTTTTCATCTTCTTGTTGGTAAAGCTGCATGTGCCTTTGGAAAATAAAGTTAAATATTTACCCTAGCTCAACCACCCCCATCTGCAGAGTTTATGTTTTGTTGGAGTTTGGGCAAGTAAGCGGTGTGTGCAGAATTCCCTGCCTGCTTCTGCTATTGTAAAATGGACTCACAAAAGCCTGTTTTTTTTCACAATGAATATTTTCTATCAGGCCTGAGACCTTACCCAGCCTCGGGGAAGATGGTGAATCCACATGTGATGCTGCATTAGGCTTACGTCTGGGACTGGTTGTCTCAGTTGGTGGGCAGCAATCTATATGCAGAGGGATCTAAGGAGCAGTCTTAGGACTTGGCACATCCCAAAGGCAGACTATAAATTGCTCAGCAGCCCTGGCTCAACAAAGTCTCCTTGCCAAGCTAAAGTCTGCATACCAAGGCAGTGCTCAGGGCTTTCCTGCCTTGACCAGCTGTGACAGCTCCACTGAGGACTCGTGGACAACATACCCACTGCCACATGCTTTTCATGCATTCTTCTTAGAAAAAGGCTGCTCTGTTACAAGGCCCCTTGGGACACTGTGAGCTGCCCAGAACATCTCAGCTGGGATGTTTTGGGGCACCTACACTCAAGCTTCAATCAAAAAACAAAAATACACTAGCAACCCCTTCCTGCCCTCTTCCCTTTCATCTCCCTCCCTACTCCGCCTACCATGACTTCGAGGCATTGGTCTTCAAACAGCTTCAAATCAAAGCAGACACAGTGACTGGACTGATGATAGAGTTCTAATCCCACGGAGACATGTTTCTGTTAGGTCTCAGAAGGACAGAGGCTAAACAGCAGCCACATCTGTGCAGCTGAAGATTTCTCCCACCCAGGGAAGCTCTGAGGGTTGCCAACAATCTTACTGGCCGTACACAGAGGGAGATACCTGCCTGCAGGGGGCAAGAAGGAAGCGGAGGTGGCACGATTAGTGTTCATTGCGTGCAGCTGGCACACGGCTTTGTAGGAAACATGGCCCAAGGGTGGCCATGGGGTGCCAAGAAGGCATGTAGCAACCATGAGACTCGAGATGCTACAAGCAACTCTTCATTTGCTTCCTCCTCTAGCAGAGAAAATTATTCCAGGCTTTCTCTCAACCTTCCTCAGGTACAGAGAAGTTTCTCCTCCGTAAAACTTTCTCCTCAGTTTCTTACAGGCTTCTCCACCCTCTAAAACCAGTGCCACAGGAGAATTTTTGTGATAACGATTTTTAATATATTGATGTTACTCTATGAGATGGAAGAAGTGTCCACCAGGCCTTTTATCATCATCACAGAACATAAAGCCCTAAAGGTCTAGCAATCACTTCTTCACTTTGTGTACTTTGCTCTCTCAAAAGGATCTGTTACCTGTGGTGCAGTATGTGCATGCTTTGTATGTGCATGCACATAATAACACCTAACATATGCAAGACAGATAAGACACTGTATAGTAAATCCATGGAAATGCAGAGCAGAACCTGGCTTTAAGACCTTCATTACTGGCTGAGATGAGCAGCACTGTGAAGTTCACAGTCAAATGTGACTTTTTGCAGACATCACAGCCCTTGCTCTTCAGAGGTCTTTTACAGGGGCCACCACGAAGCTCAGAGTTAACCCCAGATGTGGATGTCCCCAGAATCAAAGTGCACCTACGTTTTAGAGGACAGGACAGGAAAAAGGTAGGATGTCATTCGAGTGCCACCTTACATCTGCTCTGAGGACAAAAAGCTTGAGTGTGTAAGGAGGGATGAACGTACAGAGGGAGAAAACAATTTCTACAGTACTGACGTGAGTTGTGAGGGGTTCGCGTGACAGAAAATATCAGAAATCTAGGTATCCTAAGCTAATCTTCTAGGTCTTGTCTGTACTGAGTGGAGTGCAGTAGATACCTCCCCGGGAACTGTATCTCATCCACTTCTTTCAGAAGGGAGTGTTAACACTGGAAAAAGTAAGATTTGCCTGGTGTAGGAATTGAACTTGTAGATTACATAAATCCCATCCTACGCATCCATTCCACTGATGTGCAGCAAGGCTGTGGAGAACATTAATACTGGGAGCGGATGAGAAGGAGGAAAAAGGAACTGAAAATCTTTTATCATGCAGTTTCTGTACCAACTTCCCCAAACAGTGGGGAATTTATTTATTTATTTACTTATTTGTTTATTTATGCAGAAGGAAATGGTTCAAAATAAGTCCTGTACCCTGCTTGCTTGGAATTCAAAAGTGGAAGAGAAGGAGTTGATTCTACTACAGCTGCTGGGTTTTTGTTTGTTCCTTCCACTGAGGCTGGAATTTGAAATAATCATCATCAAAAAAATAATATCAGGCAGAAATTGACTAAAACACAGCAGGACTTCTTCATTTCTGGGCCAGTGTTGAAAACTATGTTGGCTTTCCTCCCTCAAAGCAAAGGAAATCTGATTTTGTTTAGAATTAACTGCTTGTTTGCCTATTTGTTTTTGCCTACTTTAAACCCTTTTGATGTTTGCAGGAGGAAGGGCTCTGGCCTGGTTCAGGTGAAAGCTCTCTATGACAAAAAATATTCTCCTAGTCCCAATAGGGGAAGTCAGAAATCCTAACTTAGAAGCACCAGGGAGGGTGGACACTGGAAACATGCAAACTCATTGACTGGAAAGCTACCAATGTCTACAAGTGCTGAAATGAAAACATGACACAACAGATCAGTCAGCACTTATTACTGAATAAATCAGCAGGCTTCAATGTTAATCACTGCAGCCATCCATGAACTCTCACAGAGCGTAGAAACACTGTTAGTTCTGCCTAGAACTTTTTTGGTTTGTTTTTTTTTGGGGGGGGAGAGGGATGATGTTCATTCCTATGGTGGGAGCATCACATGCTGTATTGTTTTCTGTCTGAAAGTCAACTTTCTGCCCAAAGTCTTGTCACCTGAAGAAACGTGAAGAGAAGAAACATAATTGTTCAGATAGCTGTTAGAATAAGAAAATGAAGAGAAAAAAGGGAGAAGATATTGAGAATCTGAACTCTCATAACGTCATGAGCAGGAAGATTAACACATGCATCCCTAGGGTGAGCTGTTCTTCCCAAGAGGTTGGCTGTGACCAACCAGCCATAGCGTAGGTTATAAAACATGCAGTAGGATCTAAGATTTTGAGGTGAGTATATGGTCATACATGTCATCTGATGGTTCTCCCAGTACTGCTCTGAGCAGAGCCAACACCACAAGATCACAAGAACCACCTCTAGGAGAGCAGGATCCTGCTATTGATTCACAATGTGGAAAAGGCCCTGTTTTAACTCTTGCACTTGTTTCATACAATGTGCTGCAACTTGTGGGTTTTCCCATTTCACATCTACTTCTTGCTTCCACTTCCCTGAATTTATCCTCCAGCTTTTCAGTTTGCACATGGGAACACTAATAAAAATGAGTACTGTTGGAATAATCCAAAATATTAGTCATTAAAGTAAGTAATGAGTGATGATAATGAGTATTATGAAAGCCAATAGAATATTCTTTTTGCCTCAGCTGAAGGCAAAGAGGAGTACCATGTTGCTTTTTTTCATCGGGCATTACAACACAGCAGGGAGCAGGCACATGAGGACCATTTTCAATGGTCTTTTGGGTACAGTAAGTCACAGTGGGCTTTCAATGCAGTGAGGAAAATAAAAAAATGCTTTGGTGGGCACAGCTGCTTTGTGTGGTGCTACTGCAGTGACAGATCCCAGCTACCGGATAAGGATCTTCAGGTCTATCCAGGAGGCTGGAAAGCAGAAAAGATGCTCATTAAATAGGGATTATGGCTCTGTCAGCCTGTTTAATTAGTCTGGTCTACTTGAAAAGCAGATGAACGGCCGGTTATTTTCACAGCATGTTTTCTGCTAGGCTGTGGTGAGGAAATTAACCGAAATGAGGTCTACGCTACAGGTAGACACAGAGGGACCAGTGTGAGCCCTGGGACACTGAGGGGACATGTGAGAGCTGTGGGGACATGTAGGGCCATGAGAGAGCTGGGTATGCTGAGGAGACATGTGGGAGACATGGAGACACCGAGGGGGACATTGAGGGGGACACTGAGGGGGACACCAAGGGGACATGTGAGAGGTGTGGGGACATAAACAGGACATGCGAGAGCTAGGTACACTGAGAGGCACATCGAGGGGATGCTGAAGGGACACATAAGAGCCTCAAATATACCAAGGGGGACACTGAGGGGGACATTGAGGAGATATGTGAGAGCTGTGGGGACACAGAAGGGCATGTGAGAGCGATGGAGACACTGAGGGGACAAGGAGGGTGACACTGAGGGGACATGTGCGAGCTAGGTACTCTGAGGGGCAAAGCAAGGGAGCTGCTAAGGGGACATAGGAGAGCTGTACAGACACCAAGGGTGCGCTGAGGAAACTTGAGAGCCGTGCGAGCTCTGAGGGGCTTTTAAGGGAGCCTCGGGACGCTGAGGCGACATGCGCACATCGCTGGGGAGCGCGAAGGGGAGGCGCGGAAGCGGGCGCGCCGAGGACAGCAGCCGCGGAAAGCAGCGCCACCGGCCGCAGGGCCCCGGCGCGCTCTTCCCGCCGCACCGCCCCGCCGCACCGCCCCCTGCCCGAGCGCCTCCCTCCGAGGCCGGTCTGGCCGCGCGCGAGCAGGTGGGGCACGGCAGTAGGAGGCGGGCGGCTAGCGGGACGCAGGCGGGGAGCGAGCCGGGCGGCATGGAGACGGCGGACGGCATGGAGAAAGGGGACGGCGGGGAGAAGGCGGGCAACGGCCACGCGGAGGGCGCGGCGGCGAGCGGCGGAGGGCGGCTGCGGGGCTGCCGGGGCTTCCTGCGGCGCAACGCGCTGGTGCTGCTCACCGTGTCGGGGGTGGTGGCCGGCGTGGTGCTGGGGGCCGCGGTGCGCGGCGCGGCGCTGGGCCCGGCGCAGGTGGCCTACCTGGCCTTCCCCGGGGAGCTGCTGCTGCGCATGCTGCGCATGGTCATCCTGCCGCTGGTGGTCTGCAGCCTGGTGTCCGGAGCCGCCAGCCTGGACGCGCGTTCGCTCGGCCGTTTGGGCGGCATCGCCATCGCTTACTTCCTCGGCACCACGCTGCTGGCCTCCGGCCTCGCCGTCGCGCTCGGTTTCATCATCCGACCCGGAGCCGGCGCCTCCGCCCTCAACGCGCCCGGTCTGGGGCTGCCGGGCAGCGTGCCGGCCACCAGCAAGAAGACGGTGGACTCCTTCCTCGACCTCGTCAGGTAGGGCCGCCCCGCCGCCTCCGCCCTGGGAGGATGATGACAGAGCCGGCGGTGTTGCACGCTGCCGCGGGGGATCCCCCCTCCTTCCTGCTCCTCCCTCGCCGCTTGCCGGCCGCAGCGCTGTGTTAAGAGATGTGAACGGGAGTGGAAGGCTGCGTCTGCCCTGTGTGCCTGCAGATGCAGGGTTGCGCTCAGCAGGGCGCCGAGCTAAGTCAGGGGTTTTTGCTTTGAAGCTTTGCTCTTTCAACTGAGACTGGTGCATCTGGGTAAACTGGCAGTAAAAAAGGCTGTATTCAGAAATCCGAGTTTATGCCCTTTTCACCCCATAGAGAAATAAGACAGTGCGAGTAGGTGGCCTGGCTGCAGAGGTGACATGGAGCAGATAAGCAGTGTAGGCAGGTGAAGAAAAATGGCAAAAGGAGGAGTTAGAATGATGGTGACAGCTGGGAAGAAGGTGACTGTTGTGGTGGCTTTCCCCGGTGCGTCCTAATGCAGCTGATGTAGCTGGTGGCTTGTTTGCATGTTGCCATCCTGCACAGAGTAGGGTGAGAAATGGGACAGACCCTCTGAGTGTTGTGAACTTGCTTCTTGCTCTGGTCTGTAAATGCAGATGGAGAGTTGAGAAGTGTCCTGCTGGTGGTAGGGTTGAGCTCCGAAGGAACGCTCAGAGTAATGAGACTTGGGTAAAGCGTTCAGGTTGTTGAGTGATTTCCTTTGGAAAGCACAGGGCTGGGGGCCCTTCCTCAGTATATGCATGGTAGTGACCTTTGAATTCAGCCTTCTCTTGGAGCTTTATGGACAGAGAGCCATCACTGTGCCATCAGCTCTAAAAGCTCCTGTCTTAACAAAGACAAACAAATCCCTGATGAACCTAGGGACAGAATGAGCTGTGTGTCTTCTGAAAATAATACCTACCTCTCTCATTAAATTCCTTCTTTCTTTTCTTTTTTTCTTTTCTTTTTAACCTAATTATTCTTGAAAAATGTGGGTATTTTGATTTGAGTGCTGATCTTGGTTCTTGCAGCCTTGCCTTCAGTTAACGGGGCCTCAGCTCTGCAGGGCAGAAACGTTGCCTTCAGTGCATGTCAATCTTGCAGCATCTCACTATTTGCTTTTCTGTTTTACTTTTGTTCCTCAATTTTTCTATCAGATACAAGGAAACTGTTTTCAGTTGTGTCAGAGGCTCCCTGTGTCCGTTGAGCCTTCAGTGTTTAGTTCCTATCAGAAAAAAGATGGAAAGAAGGTACAAGTGGGCAATCTGAGTCCCACAGCCACACTGAAAACACACTAAACTGGACTAAGTCACAGCTGTGAGTCAGATAGTTACCTTGATTCTGTGGAGGTGACATAGGTTGTCCTTTCCCAAGATGCCAATCCTTTCTGCTTTTGGGAAGTTTATTAATGAATGACCAAAGCCATTGCTTTCCACTGTCACAACAATGTCTGGAGGACGTTTGGATACTTAGCTGCTGCTGAGGTGTTGGGGAGGGCACAACAGCAGTCACCAGCTAACATATTGTGCTTTATCAGAGTGCTATGGAACGAGCAAGAGCAAATATTTTGCAAGAATCTGTATTGATTTGTCCACGCTTCTGATGGGCTCTTGTCAAGACTGCGTGTTTAAATAGGGTCAGAGTTTTGCTTTGGCTTTGATCTTTATTTGCTGATTCAATGAAATCGAACAGTTTTGCAGGAACTTCTGATTCTGTTGAAATTTCTAACAGCAGAGGAGCCTGGCATTTCATCTTGGTGAGATCAGTGTTTTGATGAAACTTTATACAAAAGACTTCAGTAGAAAGTCTCGCTCATCAAAAAGGAACGTTTCAACAGACTATTTTACAATATTTTTAGTGGAAGGAAAGGCTTCAGACGGTGCCGTTCTTTGCCTTATTTTGGGATGAAAATGTGTTTTGAAACCATGGGATTGGCTTTGGATTGGGAATTCTGTTTTTGTTTTTAATCTCACAGTAACATGGTGAGTGGGATGGGCGTAGCATCGTTTGCTTTTTATAGGAAAGGTACGCAGAGGTCCAAGATGTGTGCCTCCCGCAGTAGTGTCAGGGTTTCTTGGGATGACAGATGAGTCTGCAGCATTTACATTTTATTGCTCCTTGTATTGCTCCTTCCTGCCCTTTCTGTCTCCCTGCCAGAGGTTACGAGCTGGGCTGCCAAAAGGAGTACCCACAGCACTGTGAGCAAGCTAGGATTACCTCCTAGCGCCGTCAGAGCTGGAGAGAGGCACACAGGAGCTTGAGCACAAGGAAAAGCAGTGGCTGCATTCTGCTGGCTGGGTTACAGAGCTGAGGGCCAGGATGGACCACAGGGAAGGTGGGCTCTTGTTCAGACACCAGTCACCCCAGTAGCACTTGCTGCTTCAAATCCTGGTTTTCCAGTGACTCACCCAAAGCAGCATCCATGAAGGCGGTCTCAGAGTATGCTCTGAAGTCTTGCTCTGGAAACAGCAAAACTGCACTGTTAGGAAGGGAGGGGGAGATGTCAGCATCGTAGTGATAACTAGAATTAAGAAGTGGCTGGGAGCAGCTGCAGTTACGCAGAGGCACGCTAACCACAGTACTGAGGCTGGATGGCTGAAACTCAGGGGTGCTCGCAGAAAAAGGAGAAATAGTGAATGTTACTGCCTGCCTTTGCTTCTGTCATTTTCTGAGCCTGGATCCTCACTCAAAGTATAGAGATTGCTGACTCAGTTCTGTGTGTAGTAAGCATTTGGCTTTTTTGTTTGCATGCCTACGCTGTGTATTTTTCTAATGTTATTTGTAGAAAGTTGATCTTCTCTACTCCTTTCTTTTGTTCTTTGGTAGTTGCCTTTACTACTGACTTGACCCAGTCATGCTTTATCTCCCAGACAAAATAGTTACAGACTGGACCCTTAGGGCAGGAAAGTATTAAATACCTGCTATAAGTGAGTAACATTCTCAAGTTCCTTTGAGTTAAAGCAGTGGCGCACGCCCAAAAATAATGTACAAGCATAGTACATCCACAGTGATATGAGAAAAACAGATGAGAAAAAGAAGATTGTGTAGTAGTGAATGAAAATCCTGAGAAAGAGGGAAGAAGAAAGCCTCTTAGTAGAGCAGTCCAAGCTGTGATGTGTTCTGGCAGGTTTTCAGATGGCAGTAAAGTTGCTGTCTGTGGACTCTTACCATTGAAAAGACTTCATTGAAAAACAGGAGATAAAGCAGCACAGAATATTTTCCTAATGTTCACCTCATTTAGTCCAGACTTCCTCAGAAAAATGTTTTCCAACAGAAGACTTTTGGCCTTAAAAGTGGAACCTTTGTGTAAGAAGCAACAGAAGAGGAATGCATGTTATTTTAGGGTTTTGTTCTGCTCGCCTGGATTTCCCTTCATGGTTTTGCTGCCAGAGTGAAGCTGTTTGCAGAGCTCTAGCAAAAGAAACATTTAGAAACAGTGATTAACAATAATCCCTTATACATGCAACAAAGGAGTTCCGTTGCCAGTTTTATTCCACAAGGTAAGGGAGAGAGGAATTTGATTGTAACATCAAAATTGATAAGGATGGAAGCTACAGCCTCCAAAGTGAAGCTGCACTTGCACGTTTGGGATATACTGTGCTTTGTTACAGAAGGGTAACCCCATTTCCCCTCTGTAAGAGCTCTGGCATGGCAAAATATATCTATAGCATTTATATATGCTGTTCTTTACTGTAGTCAAACAGAAAATATGCAAATCCTGAAACTTCTGCAGCTGGTACCATTGCAGTATGTGGTTCCTATTTTAAGTGGATTTGAGGTGGTGCTTTCCTGTACTGGGCAGTGTGCAGGTACGTGGAGATCTCATCGCACGGCCCAGCTGCTGCTCCAGCCCCAGGATGCAGCTGTTATGTATGACAGCTGTCTGGTGGGCTGTCTCTCTGTTTGGTTGTAGCTCAGAGGACGGTGCACAGTCTCCCTCTATCATGTACTTCAGCTTCAGGCTACAAAAGCTGTTCTTGTCTGATGCGTAGAGCAGTGGGGCAGCCGAGGTGCACGCTGCCATGATGTCAAGCCTTGCTACGTTGCATCATTCTGCTGCACTCCTTGCATCACAGCCCTGGGCTGCCTGATCCCAAGCTCCATGCAGGGCTCCTTATCACACAGACTCAGGTTTCTGTAGGCGTGCTCTTGCAATAGCACAAGTCTGCTTTGGAGAGCTGACCATGTGCTTTAGCATGGGGCACGGCGGTGGCAGGGCTGCGAGAAACAAGCAGCAGTAGTCAGTAATCCTGTGATAGAACCATGCTGATTTCTTTAAACTCCACATCCAAGGCGAGAAAGCTGAAGGTTTGATCTGTGCAAGAACTCTGACTGGCAGACACCCGCATTTAGTTTGCACACCCAGTTACACACCCTTTCTACTTGCTGGTTCACCTGGCCAGGAGGATGTTTGCACTTCCCTGTGCGACTCCTCAGCTCACCTGGGGTTGCTGACTGTAGGGACAGAGGTCTGGTTTTCTGTGGGGCTGTGAGCTTTGCTTGGCTGCACATGCTGGGTGAAGCCTGTGAGCACAGATGAGCCCAGGCAGGTCAGCAGCCAGCTTTTGGCTCTCCCCGAAGCCCACGGCATCCTGGCCCCTGTTTTTAGGCACTGGGGTGGTGTTCTTGAACAAACTCGTCTTGGGCAATGAAGCTGAAAACCTGTGGTCTGACTCACCTGTAATTAAGGCTTAATTTAATTTGCACGCAAACTGATCTTAGTGAGTGATGAGCATAGTCTGTGCAGGACTTGTGCCTCTGTGATAAGCTGTTTATTTGTTAATTGTTTTTTATGACCTGGAGCACCTTCTTTG